AACATACACCTAGCTACTTTGAAAAGTGTTTGTACATATGCGTACATGCTGGGTACTGCCCCCTACTTGGCAACAGTTGCAAACCAAATAAATAATTCAAAGCTGAGGGCAGTACCCAATGTATATGTATAACCCTATATCATCCTATATAATCCTTTATAACCCTATCTAATCCTATAGAACCCTAGAACGCCCAAAATAAACCCGGTAGAGACACGCTGCAAGGTCTTAGGCAGCTTCGGGTGGCTGGGCTGAAGAACATCTCGGCCAAAGGCCGCTTGGCAGATGCCTTGATGAAGGTTCAAAACCAAGGGCTTTAGGGTTTGTAGGGATTATAAGGTTCAAAAAACAAGGGCTTTAGGGTTTGTAGGGTTTATAGGGTTTAGGGCTTAGGGCTTAGGGTTTAGGGTTTTAGGGTCTAGGGGTTCTAGGATGCACTGAAATTTAGGGCTTCAGGGCTTGCGGGGTTGGGATGAGACTATGGGATACTCAGGGGTAAGTAGGGACCCTGACTTTTGAAAAGTCCCTCAGAGGGAATGACCTCAAATACCATGACGGTTTCCAGTTTCATGTCTTCTCCATAAATTGTGTCCCTAGAACTGGCCCCCTGTGACAGTTCATTCAAATAACCCATTCCTACATTCCCTACGAAGCCTTGACGTACAAATCCTAGCCCCAAAAAGCTAAACCCCAAAAAACCAACATATGTACCTATAACTAGCCCCTTGCGACCGTTCATTCAAATAACCCGTTCCTCCATTTCTTACAAATCCTTTAATTAACGTACAATTCCTAAGCCAAAAAAGCTAAACCCCAACAACCCGAAATCCTGAGTCTAAGCTCTAAACCATGGTCGCGAATATGGGCTGTAGTCTGAACTCCTTACAGGGGGTTATATAGGGGATCATAGGGTTACAGGGGATTATATAGGGGATTACGGGGGAGCATCTTAGGGGTAAGCGGGGTACTGGGAGTTTATACTGTCGCTCATATGGGTCCCTGCCTATGCTTGGTGTTTGCGCGAGGTTTGTTACTAACGGGAAGGGATTATTGTACCCTGGGTTGTAGGGCGTGTGCAGGGATACTTGCGGATATACAGGGTGTGGGAAGAAGTACCAGAATAGAGCATGAAAGGGGAACCATGGAATCAGAAATGGAAGCTCGGTTTTAGTATGGTTTATAGGTCTCAGGGATACGTGGGGAAAGCACCAGACACTGCCAGGCAATGTCTTAGAGTCTTTTTGTAGAACCATCAATCGAGAACGCTAGTGTTTCCTTGTACACCTACAAGGTACAGTACTTAGAAACCCCAATGACTTAGTAATTACGAACTATAGAGATCGGCAGCAAAAGAGATTGGCCACACCTTGCACTTCCTGAGTGCAAGGCCGGGCAAGCCGTTAAACCCATAGGGCCAAAAGGGTTCCTAAACCTTAAACCCTAATTATTTAGGGTTCAGGGTTTAGGGTTCCATTTTCTTTTCCATTATCCCCATATAATCCCAACCCTGAAGTGTGTCAAGAGGCTTGGTTCCATGCTGCCGGATGCAGCGGCCCCATGAACTGGGTGATTTCGGGATTTGTCTTGGGTTTTTGGGTTTTTGGGTTTGCGGGGGGTATATGGGTTTTATATAGGGACATTGGAAAATGGAATGGGAACTCTTTTTTTTACAGGGGTATATAGGATTTGGGGTTTGTGGTTTAGGGCTTTGGGATTGGTCTTGGGATTGGGGTTCAGGATTTTGATATTCTATTACATTTTCGGCTTCTGTGCCGGTGGCCGGTGGCAGAATTAATGAATTCCTTGTTGGAAGTGACAGAAGGGTTTGTCTTGCAAGAACTTTTGGGATGGAGGAGGTTCGAGAGAAGGTGCTTGTTCTTTCAAAGCATGTATGTTCTGGTCCATTATCCGATACATGACGGGCCTCTGAGGCGAGGAACTAATAAATTGGTTTCTTCACACAATCATGGGCCTTTTTTTCGTATAGATCGTATCAATTACGGCATGTACGATTTAGAGGTACCGAAATAGGACCCTAATTGTGGGAACTATCCGCATTGTTGAGAGGGTTACTATAAACTATCAAGTGGGCCTCGCGTCACTGGGCAGGTTTCTTCGTTTGTAAGTTTCCAAGGTAAGGTGTACTTAATTGGATGGTCCCTAGACTAAGGACTATAGTATTTTGAGGTCTATGTTTGGGTCCCCCTGTTTTGGGAAACTACCATTTCTAGTTGGTTTGTGGGCGCTTAGACTTCAGGGTTCACCGTCAAGATTCCAAGATCTGATTAGAGATAGGGTTTTAGGGTTCAGGGTTTCCCAGGTACCCACCCCCGTTGAGAAGAGGGCATGCCTGTTTGGACGAAGCTGGACCGGATGTTCTTCAAATTTCCTCATCCCAAAAGGGTCCTTGTAGCTGCACAGTATATACTTGGGCATTCAAGTAGCTATATGGGAGCCCCTTTGGGCTCTAAGTATATATATATATATAAACTATATGCCTACATGGAACCTTGGGGCATCTTGTATTGCTTAAGATTGCAAATTCTAGGTCTGGCGCCGCAGACTGCCCGAAAAGAACTTGAAGCAATGAGCTCCAGTTTCTTGGCGGAAGGCTGTACATGGGGGGGCTACATAGACTTTAGAGAGTTCAGGAACACGAATCAAAGGACCAGCGGGGAAGCTGCTGCCTATGCAAGTAATGAACGGCAACGTAACCCCTACATGGTGGTAGTTTTTATAAGTAGGGGACCCCAAGATAGACCCCAAAACGCTGTAATTAATCCCTATTATTGCGACCCCCAAGCTGTAATGTTCTCAATCTTCAGCAACCGCACGAGAGTCCGGAAACCCAACATGGCAAGCTACTCAGCAAGGCCTTGTCTGGAGGAAATGGCTCCCGCCTCAGCTTTCCGTCAGGTTCGGTGTTTATGATGCAAGGTTTGGGAGTTTGATTCTAGTTTTGGGGGTTTCAGATTCTCGCAGCTGCAGTACAACTTCTTTGTGGCTGAACAGGATTAGGGGCTGGACTCAGAATGCGAGAAAACTCATCCACTCCCATGCGTTGTGTTTTCAGTCTCCAGCTCTAATGTTTCAATCTCTTCCTCGCCCATACTGTTTTTTGGCCAAGTGTCACCAAGGATGCTAGTTGCCATGGCACGTTGACAGCCGCAGTCTGCACCGCAGAGATAGCCCACGAATCGAGATAGAACGTCGCGAGGTCTAAGCTTCAACATTCATTGTAGTTGCTGAAGACCTAGATGGATTGTATTTTCAGTGTATGTAACCGCTATGACGATGGATGTGATACTGCAAGAGTGCTCGCGTTGCCTTTGCCTGCGGGGCGTGGTTGTGGTGTACTTTCGTGTAGGCACATATCAGCAGTCTTGTCCGCCTAGTCTGCATAGTATGCAAGTTTGGTAAGCAAGAAGAGGTTCATGCGGCATAAAATTGTCTATAGCCCTTGAGTGCCGCGTGGCCCGCGGGGGCAGCACGATACCAATAATGTGTTCATGCAGTCTTCTCTGCAGGGTAAATAGCAAATCGCGTAGTTTGCTTTGGCATTCTCTGCTAGTCTAAGAGGCTGAACTTCAACAAGAAGCTATGCTCACGGATTTATTTGATGGCGTCGAAAACCGTTTCAGCGCATTTGTTTCTGACGGTCTGTTTTCCTGGGGTGTCCCAAAACGACGCCAGCTGAGAGGATGGTGACTCCCACCTTTTCGAGAGGGCCGGCAGAAATCTCTAATGGCAAAGGAATACTTTAGATGAATCCCCCACCCTGTAATAGCAGGATCCCTTACAGTTACTAGCAACAAGAGTTTCCAATGCGAAAGAAACCCCTCTGCAGAAGCCTGGAATCTTAGCAATATCATGCTCCTAGCTTCCCTGTACTACCTATGGTCTTGGGCAAACTTGATTAGACCTCAAAATCATATTGGCCTTCATCTAGGCCCCTACACTACACAATGCCCCCAGTTCAGGACCAGCTTTAAACTACTTACAAAGAGATGTGGGCTTTGTAGTTAGGGGCAGGTTATTACCACCCTAAACCCGGAACCCATCGTACGGCCAGGATTGCAGCTCCTGCAACTCTGTGGCAGATTCCTTTCTCGAGCAACGCCGGCATGGTTTAGGGTTGAGGGTTTATGGGTTTAAGGTTGAGGGTTTAGCCTTCCGACCCCACGTCTCGCCGAGTATAGAGACAAAAACCTCCAATACTCGAATAAGACCCCTGGTCACCAGCATAGGCTAAGGATGAAGCGCGGCACCTTAGCCTCCCAAAATTTCCTGAAGCATTGTACGCCCAAAGCCTTGATTTCTCGAAGGTTTACTCCTCAACTTGCAGCCACCTGGTTTAGGGTCAAGGGTTTAGCGTGCAAGTAGCCCTAAACCCCGAACAGTTTGCAGCTTCTGAGGGGTTATCTTGATCATTTAACCACCAAATGAGCTATAGTCTAAACTCCTGAAAATGGGTTATATAGGAGATTATATATACATATATATCTAAATATGATTATATGGGAGTATTATAGCAGCTACTACAATGTTAAGGTTGTACTGTAGCTCAAATGTTGCATCCAACCTGTTGGATAGATAGGTTTTCCGAGGAATCTCTTGGAGAGGAAGTGTCCCAGAACCGTGTTATGACTGTTATGGCTCCTGACCCGAGTTTTCAGCTTGCGAAGCTGTGTATATAGAACGGTCTTAACTGAAGCTGTAAAATGGGTCCTACTTAGCCAATACAACAACTTTAACCTTTTTTGGCATCCTTTTTGGGTCTCTATGTTAAAGTTTAAACTTGTTTAGCCTGGGTTATTGGGAAAGAGAGGCCTGTAATGAAATCAAACCAGGTCCCCAGACCACAGATGTGTAGCAAATGACCGAGTATCTTTATACTGGCACTTCCCTCACAACCCCTCTATGACCTTTACAACCCATCAAAAGGGAATCCATTTCGATGGCTGCATCTAAGTTCCTTCTCAGCAACCCAGCAAAGTCAGGCTGGCCAGTGCGCTCTTGTGGTTCGCAACATCATACCTCTCCGCTGCGTGGAAGCAGAAAGCCCGTCCAGAACCTTCTATGTAGCTCCTTCTGTAGCCTCAAACCCTAGACCTTAAAAATGCTATAGACCCCAAAACGGAATTACATAACCCTTAGGTAGGGCACTCGGGATGAGTTTAGGATTCCCACTGAATTCCTTTAGGTGGTGAGTAGTGCATGCAGATGAAAAGCAGTCTTCCCATGGCTTTTGTGGCGGCTTCCATGCTATTTTGGAATAAGCCCACACGTATGTGCATATAAGTAAGTATGTAAGTCAATGAGTCAGTAAGTAAGGAAGTAAGTAAGTAAATAAGTGAGTGAGTAAGTAAGTAAGCATGTAGGTATGTACATTTGTATGTATGTACGTATGCATGCATGCATGTACATACATATGTATATATATATATATATACATGTCTGCAATATCGATCTACCTTCAAGTCAGGTGGCTCGCTGGAGGGCAAGTACAGGGCGGCTCATCCGCTTCGAGGAGGCAATCTCGAAGCATGTGCAGAGCATCTTGGGCAGATGTTTAGCGATTTGGGCTCCTGTCAAAACTAAACATAAACCCTAATTTGTTGAGACTCCCTCCTTGATTGCTGTAGCACCCAGCTCCCCCAACTTGCAGCTTCCTAAGCTACATTCCATTTTGGTTTAGGGTTTAGGGTAGGGTTTTAGGGTTTAGGGTTCAGGGTTCAGGCTTTAGGGTTTAAATTTTTCGAATCCGTAAATCCTGCGTGTCGTGCTGTAATTGTACCCCAAAAGGGCCCCCGACTTTGAAGAACTTCATTGTACTCTAACCTGAGATGCTCTCGTGGTCTACACAGCAATCTCATTGTACTGGAAAGTTTTGCCCTTTTGGGCCAGGAAACTCAGCAACTGCTGTTGAGATTAAAAGTCCTGCATGGCCTCAGTGTACAGAGTTGCCGTGATTTTCTGGGTTGGGGTCCTTGGAGTCATGCAGGATGTTCAGCCATGCCCATATGAGCAACCGTCAATACTCGTTCATAAGGAAGTTAATAGCCGCTGGACATGGAAGGCCAAAACCCTGTAAAGCGACGGGAACATTAAGAAGCGACACGCCCAATAGATGAGCTAAGGAGGGCC